AAGAGTGTGAAGAAATTCCCTCTCTGCACCGGACTGGGACTGGCTCTTAAACTCAGCTTAGTTCAGTGACCAAAGTCTCATGCACCGTGCTTCTTTATTTTCTTATTTCCTTTTATTGGGAAAATGACTACACTATAATTTGATATTTCAGAGCCATAGCGTAACTAATCCAAAGTATTGTGGTGATCCAATAAAAGCTTCTCAACATATAGAATTGAGTGTTTGCCTCCACATAAATGATGTATGTTTTCTTTCTTGGATGGTGCCATCTTTTCTGTTGTTCCTGTCTGTATAAATGGTCAGACTATTTCTGAGTAAAATGGTGAAAGACAACTGATCTGCCTCTAGGAGCAGGTTAACACTGCTTCCTTGATATATGTGAAAATTCTCATCTCATGAATTCAATATTCCTCTCCTGTAAAAGATTTTATTGCTGAATAGTTCCTATAGGGAAAATCATCTTTATTACCAGAATTTTTTACTTTCAGTATGATTTATTGTTTCAGCCTTATAGTTTTACCACATCTTTATTTCATTCTCATCCAAAAATGTTCATACTTCTTTCAGTACCACTTTTTATATCCTGGCATTTATTTGGAAGACAACAGCTACTGGAGGAAAAAATTATCAGAATATATTCCATGTTTTTTTTTCCAAACAGCTCTTGAGTGAAACAAAGCATGGAGAAGGTGTGAATGAATGGCAGAAATTTTAAGGCTAGAGGGCTTCATTTCGGAAAGTGGTCAGCAATCCACTCTAATTCTTGCACAGCTTTTAACCATGTGCTTCATGTTAAGCACACAAAGGAGATTTCATTGGGTAGAGTTTGCTACCAAGGCTGGCTGAATAGCTAAGCAGTTCATTCCTCCCATTGCACTTACTCTGTAAGGAGTAAGGAAAAAACAGACGAACCAAACCTAGACTTCTGTAAATCTATTTAATCAAAAAGCACTATACCAGCGTATTAATTTTTGCCTCCATTAACTGGTTTTCAGTAACACTACAGCATTCATGCTAACCACATGAAGTATTTCATCCCTTGTCATTGCCTCCATGCCATCATGCAGGGCTCTCCCTGCCTTCTTTGTAGGGTTAAAACAACTGTGAGAGGCGCATGTGTTTTTATTTTGGCTTGTTAGGAGCTGCAGTGCTGATGTGAGCCTTTACCTACTGCTTTTACAGTCAAGAACATGAGTTCTCAAGGCTAGGAAAGATCCTGAATGTCAGAATCTAAAATTATGTGGTCAAAGAGATAGTTAAGAGACGGATATCATACGTAAATGCAAAATGTAAAGGTCACCTTTCTTCTCTACCCATCCCTGGAAAAGCTAGACTAGGTCCAGCTTTGGACACACTTTTATGTAGATGCAGACTAACTGGAGGCAGCTGCCAGAAGGCAAATGGGGTGAATCCTAGAAAATATGAGCTGTGAGAGAAGGCTGTGAGATTTATGGACAGCAGTTTTAAGGAAGAGTTTATCCTGGTCCCTAACCTAGATGGAGGGACAAATTCCCTATCTTTAGCCTTACCATTAAAACTCACCTCTCTGAGTGTCAGAGATTCTGTGACTCCTTCAGTGACTGTGGCAATGAATGGAGGCAGCATGATACCCCTTGTGTCATCTTTTGCAAACAGATTGTAATCATACGTTTTAAGTGAAGACCATCCACCAGGCTTCCATAAAAACAGTCATACAGCGTGAACTGTTGTTGTATGTGAACTTCCCGTTTATTCTCTTAGACTCTTAACAGAGAGCTGAAAACACATTTCTTGCAGCTCAGAAACTGCGATGGCCTGAAACCAACTTATGAATCTGGATTTTTTCACTGTAGCTCCTTCAGTCCCTCCCCTTGCAGTACAACACGGTCCCAGCAAGGCTGCCAGAGCTGCCCGCCCTGGCGCAGCCCTTGGAGGGTGGAAGCCATCCAGAGCCTTTCAACCAGTGCTCGTCTCCCACCCCTGAACCACAGGCAAAGGAGTAGTTACTGCTGCAAACAAGCTCTGTATTTCCTTTGCTTTTCCTGCTGCAACCTCTAAATGCTTCTCTGAGGTTAAATGGAAAATTTTAATCTCAAAAAAAAAAAAACCGTTTTCAGCTTTCTATTTCCTTGAGAAAAGGAAAAAAACATTCACTTTGGTACAGACTGTGTTTTTTCCAGATCTGGAAACAGTAACAAAAGAAAAAACAAAGGACTGCTCACCTAGTCTTCATTTATTTATTTACTTACTATCTTCTTTTCTGTGACATAACCCATCTCTCTCCTCTTATCCACATGGAACTTTTAATTACATTTGTTTTTCCAGAGATTTGGTATTAAAATAATGGTAGCTTTGGGTTTTTAAATTCCTAACTAAATGCAGATATGCTGTTAGGAGCCTAGTATTTGGCACTTTCACTCTATACAAAGGTCACTTAAAAATGTCATGAGACCTGGAGACGTTCCAAAACAGGAAAAGTGCAACAGCACTGATAGTGTTGAAGGCAAAAACAATAAAGCAGGTAGTACAAATCAGCACAGAAATGGAGCGCTTTGGGATATTAGTGTCCATAAAGCAATCTTTGGGGTCTCCAGGAGAATTTCGGGGGAATATGAATTGTGGAGTCTCAAGGTCTTTTTTATGTTTTATTTTAAATTAGCTTTTCTTCTTTACTAAACCTTTTACATGGGTCAGATATTTATGGAATGAACATCTAGACTGAGGTACGATGCCTGTGTCTTGAGCTGTGCTTTCACACTGACAAACAAAGAAGTGCATTTGTCATTTCCCTGGCTTGTGTATGCACTTAATCTAGAAATTTCAGTAGCCTGATGCTGGCATATAAACAGCATTATTTAAAGCAATCAACTTGATCTACTGCCCCGGGTAATGAAAACCTGGCTGATTTTAGAGGGCCACAGTCACACTCTTCTCCCATCGGTCACTCTTTCTGCAAGTGCTGTAAGGCTCTGTCACACCTCGTTTTGCTGCATCTCCCAAGGCGGTGGGAAATGCCTGCATGGCGTATTCATCCTCCAGTTGCTACAGACCTGACAGCGTTGCCTGCTTCTGCCCTGCCTGATGTCTCCTTGGGGCAGAAGCAAGCTGGCATGACAAGAGCCTGCCTCAGCCCCGGTGCTCCCACAGAGAGCGCTGAAATCCAATAACAGCTGCATCTGGACTCTGGGTACCGTAGCTGTTGCCTTGGACTGCGCAGAATTTGGCAATTTGTTATAGAAAGCATCTCCTGGTGATGTATAGTTAAACCTGGGATACTGTACCCC